ATTTTACCCTAATTGTCTCCATAACTGCTTGCCTACTCTGACCTTAGCTTAGTTGGCCTCAAACATGGCAGATGCTCATTGCACTGAATTCTGTTATCTGGAAGGTTCTTCCTTCTAGAACCTTTCCTTACCTTTTCCATGTCAATGAAACTTCTTCTGATCTCCCCATTCAGTTTTTCCCCTGCACTAGCCCGAAATTCCCCATTCCAGATGCATCCTTTCCTAAAGTATCCAACATACCAACGTACCATTTATCTGGTTATCAATACCATTGTTCTGCTTAATATACTAGGGTAAGCAATTAGGAAACAGCACTGAACATATTTAAAAGCAGCTAATCATAGCCTGTTCGTTGAATAGAACATACACATTTCTTTGTCCTGCTAATGGACATTTAGATTGCATCAATGTTTTGCTATTTTAAATCACATGAACTTACTATAAACCTTTCATGTATGAAATGCTTTCCCATTTCTTGGGCATTAAACTAAATTCTTAGATGTGGAATTGTTACATCAAAGTATGTTGTATTAAGACCCATTTGGCTACAAGTCATAGAAACTTAACTCAAAATGGCTTAAGGAAATTAAAGAAAATTATTGTGTGATACATTTGAGGAATATAGGGAGAGATTTCAGACAGTGTTGATTCTAGAGGTTCAGTTGATATCATCAGGATTTACCTGTTATTTTCAATATTCTTTCTCTCTGTGAGAACATTCTGAGGCAGTCTCTACCCATTCATGTCAAAATCACTACCAACAGCTCCTGTTTTTCTTCTGCCAGCTCTTAAATCACACTTTTTTTTTTTGGCGGCACTGGGGTTTGAACTTAGGGCCTCACACTTGCTAGGCAGGCACTCTACCACTTGAGCCACTCTGCCAGATCTAAAATCATCTCTTGAGATGTCCCCTTCCCAGTATTTTCAGCAAAAAGTTTGGGACAGGTTCTCATTGGCTTGAATTGCATTTTGCCATCTTTGAGTCATTGACTTTGGACATGGACAAGTTGGTGGGATATGCCAGAGTGGGGACAAGTCCCCCCAGCCTTATCTCTTAGTCTGAGGGCAGGGAGGTGCAGTTCCCCAGAGGAGAATCAGGGTGCTCCTGCCAGGATGGGGATTGATACTGGGCAGACCCCAAACAATACCTTTTCATGTTAACCTTTAATGACTGTGTTTTAGATTAAAAAAGAAAGAAAAAGTAGAGGAAGAGAATAGACCACTGCATCCTAAGCATGCAGTTTCGGATGTAAAAGTCTGATTAGATAGCAGAGCATTTCTTCTCTCGCTGTGGGGAAGGAAGTGGCAGAAATCCCAGGCCACAGCTCCCTGGGGAAGGGGTGAAGCTCCCCAGAGCCTGTACTTTCATGACTCCTTGGTGGCTACCAGCTCCTCAAGTGCATGTTGTGAGTGATGGAGATGGGTTCAAATATGAGGGGCAGAAAGTCTTGAAGATTCCCTTAAGAGAGTCTGGTCACATTCATATGAAGCTGGAGGTTGCTGGCAGTCAGGTCTCCACTCCACACAGCTGCAGGGTATGTCTAACACAGGGTGTGTGCACTGGAGTGCCACAGTCTTGATGGCTTCATTCCTTTCAGCTCTGTCCCCTCTCCCTTGACAAGAGCAACCTTTACAAGAGAGCTCGGCTTCGGGGCTGTCTGGTTGCTCATTGCTTTGTGGACATGACCACTTTGTAGCATAATTGTTTGAGTTTCAGGGTTCATGTCTGTTGTCCATTGTTGAATCTAGCTCCTGCCTTATAGGCAGTGTTGAACTTTGTTGACCCTCTGCTGGCTTTTGGCTATGCTCAGGCATCTGCACATGGAGCTCCAGAAACCCCTTCTACATTGGTGGTCATCCTGGCCCAGGCTTGCTATTCTCTAAGCAGAACTCATTCTTAGTGTTGGAAAATATCTTAATGAAAATCCAATGGCTTGCTCTGTCTTTCCAGGGACTGTCTAAAGCAATCAGACTTTCTGTTGAGTTCATTCTAGAATTAGGATGTATTGTGATCAGTTCCAAGCCCAAAAAAATGAAGTTATTACTTGACACTCTTCACAAATTCCTTAAAGCTCATTTGAGCACCTCCACTTGGGTCATGTGCTAATGACTACTTGCAGTTATTCAGTAGCGAGAGCCACAAGGGGAAGTTGCCAGAGGTTAGGCCAGGTGAAGGGTCCTTCAGTGTACTCCTGATTCCCCCCTGCAATTTTGGCATTTTTCCCTTTCCATGTCATCAAGGAAATTAGAGAGAGGCAATTTATAAGTAAATGATACATCTTGGTTAAGGACTCCGAGTTAATCTGGAGCCCACTTGTATTTTCCTTGGTACACGAGGAAGAGAACAATATTAATATCCCACTTGTGCTCTAGGTTACCCACCTACTGGGCAGGCTACTCTCTAGTGTGATTCCAAGAGCATTTTAAACCACATAAATTGGGTGTATTGCTATGAACAAGGCCTCCAGTACTGCCAAAAAAACCCCCAAAACTAGTAAGTAAAAGTTTCCTGTCTGACACACACAGTCCCCTGGACTAAGAGAAACCCCACCAGTTAGCAGCTATCGTCTGTTTGATTCCAGATCCTGGCGATGAGGTTCCCATGTTTCTCACTGTAATCAAGTGGGCATTCACACTTTTGACATGTGTAGCCCACCGTAGAAATGTTTGCTATTACCAATAACTCATATCAGACATTTTGAAGTCACAGTACAGCATGTGTAAAGCAGGTGGTCTTCCAGAATGGCCCATGGAGGGGAGCACTTTGCAGCTGAGCCTCGCCATAGCCCTCAAGTGGGTTCAGAGTGGGAGCGCCACCCAGATTTTTGTCTGTTACAGAGATTGAGCGGCTGTGCAAGATGTTATTGGCAATGAAAAGGCTTCCACTGCTGACTTAAAGAGAGCCCACAAAAACTCACGGGTGATGGTGGTGCATGCCTATAATCCTGGCTATTTGGGAGGCTGAGATCAGGAGGTTTGAGGCTAGCCTAGGAAAATAATTCATGAGGTTCCCTCTCCAAAATAACCAGAGCAAAACTGAACTGGAGGCATGGCTCAAGTGATAGAGCACGTGCTTTGCAACCATGAAGCTCTGAGTTCAAACCTCCATTCGGCAAAAATACAAACAAAACAAAACAAACAGTTAAGATAGTTTAAAAACAAGTTACCTTCTTTAATCTGCTTCTGTGAAATTTTGTATGCTTTGTTACCAATCACTCACTGCAAACTGATTTTATCGGGCATTTCACACTCAGGGCAGCCCCTGCAGGGATCAGCTGCTCAGGCCCCCAGGGGCTGTGAATTAATGATCTCTGAGAAGGCCCAGGACTCTTACACCACACACCTGTGCCCAAGAAAGATGCAGCCCACACTGTGCAGCTGGCATTTGCCTCTGTCTGGACCAGCAAAAGCAACAGCAGGGACACTTGGAGCAACTCCTGTCACAGACAGAAAGGTCAGGGATTTAACGGACTGCATTTTGTCTGGTGCAGCCTGGGGACTGGAGGGAGGACATACAAACATTAGGAAGCCTATGCTTCTCTAGTGCCCTGTACCCTGTGCTTGTCTTTCTGCTCCTCCCTCTTTTTTTTTTTCTTATTCAGTACTGGGTGTTGAACTCGGGGTCTTGCACTTGCTAGGCAAATGCCCTACTTCTTGAGCCACATCTTCAGCCCTTTTGACTTTAGTTATTCTTTTAGATAGGGTTTTGCTTTTATTTTGCCCAGGGCTAGCCTCTTAGTAGCTGGAATCACAGACATGCTCCATCATGCCTGACTTACTTGTTGAGATGTGGTCTCGCTAACTTTTTTGCTCAGGCTGGCCTCGAACTGTGATCCTCCCGATCTCTGCCTCCTGGGTACTTAGGATTACAGGCATGAGCTACCATGGCCGGCTCTGCTCCTCAGTCTTTATAGCAAACAAGGACCAGTGATGCTCTAGTGTTTACAAATTTCAGTTCTACCTACATAAATTGGCCAGTGAGGCTTATTCTCAGTCTCAACTCTTAGATCATAGAAAATGAACTATGCTCGATTCACTTTAGGTTAAGTGCTCTCCTTGTAGCTAGGAGCAGGGCATACAGTACATGACTTTCTGGGGCCTGTTCCTGGACCTTGTAGATGCCATTGCAAACAATGTCCAGAGAAGGGACATTGTGGTAGCTGAATGGAAGCCCATCTAGGTGACTTGCATGCTTCTGCCCACACCTCTCTCTCTCTCCACAGGGCACACCGGTAACACCTGGGCCCAGGGCAAGCTGCTTCAGAGCTTTGCTGACACGGAGGTGGGGTTGGGGTTCTTTTGTTGAAGCATGGTCATAGCTCATTAAATTTGGCTTTGCTTGGAGAGCTACCTTTATTGAATTAAATCAAGGACATTTTGAAGCTGGATATTGCTTTGGTATAGAATTAGGCAAAAGTGGCACCCCCATTGACTTGCCTCCAATTTTTGAATAAGGATAAAATGTTTTAATTATAATCATGGCACCTATGTTTGTAGACATCTACTGTTTAACCTCACATCATTTATTTCTGTTTTCCTAAACAGCTATATCGATGTCTAACTTTATACTCTGGTGGGCAAAAGATTCTTTTCTAGTTATGTTTGCAGTGGTGCATGCATTGAATAGCACCACTCATTACCTTTTCATGGGAAGAATTTGGGTCACAGTTTCACTTGGAAAGTTTGACATAGTTCTGGTTTCTAAATTCAAAAAGTCTCTGAAGTCATTTGATTGACAGTTGTTTACAGTTTATTCTGATGTTGACCCATGGAACTTCTGACCACACTGGAAAGAAAGTTGTTGCAGGTGGAGTTTGGAAATCTGGAATTCTCTACTTTTTTTTTAATTCTCGAATTTTACAAGGATAGTAATTTTATTCTTTTGGAACTTCTTTACTGTTGTTTAAAAGTCCATATCAAGTGTACTGATTGATGCACAAATGAGAGACATTATCCATGAGGTTTTAAAATATTCTGAATGATATTTTCTTTCTTTTTAGCTGTCTCCGTTATGAGGTACAGCGCCTCTGCTTTTGGGTTTGCAGTAAGTAATCTGACATGTACTTTCATGAAGTTTGCACGTTTTTTTTTTTTTACTGAGCCAATGAATCTCACCCGGAGCCTCAAGCAAGAGGGTGGGTGGCATATGAGAGCCTAGCGTGAGAAACACACCTTTTTTGGCAACAGCTTCTATAAAAAATGTGGTTTAATAGAATTTAACTGCAACAAGAGTATTTTATTTCTCAGACACCGACGTTTTAGCCCTTTTTTTTTGTTTCTAGGTTGTGTGCAGCCCTGGCACACAACTGGAGTGATGCATTTGCTGGTGTAGACAGGTGTTGGGAGTTAAGATCGGGCTCTCACATTAGGATAAGTCATTATGTAGCCTGACTCAGGGTGCATGGCTTCCTGGACTCCTCCTGCTGGAATCTGGTCAAAGAAAGAAGGTCTCTCATGGGGGGTATGTTGGAAAACTGAGTGGCACTTCCCTTCACCCCTTCAAGAGAGTGCAGTGCTTGTATTTTTCTAGTGGAGAAGTGAGACATGGTGCAACAGCTTATAAGACAGTCCTTTCAACATCCCTCCTAGATAGATGTGGGGTTCCTGTACCTGAGGGTATGTGTACCTACTCCCAAACCCACATTTGCTCTTCATTGTAAGAACTTAATGTTTTTGGGGGGCATTGCAGCTTCTTTTCAGAATCTTACAAAGGATGTGATCTATCCAGAAAAGTTCACATCACATATGTAGCCAGACACACCACGTATACACATACCCAGAAACACACAACCTTTTCTCCTTTTTCTCTAGAAAGCGCTCCCATACCCACCCTCCCTTTTCCCTTCTCTCCTTGTTACTCTCTTGTCTTTCCGTCATTCAAACCAAAGCATTAAATTTTGTGTCCAATATCAAAAGTGTTTGTGGACTTACTAGATCCTGGGGTGACCCCCACTCTCTGCCCTGAATCCAGGTAAAATAGTCCCATTGAGTCCAGAAATACATCCCTTACCTCAAATCTTTCATAGATTGTGCATGAAAATGCTGAAATAACCTTGCCTGGCACAGGGACATCCACTCCACATATTTCAGAAGGGTTTACCTTCAACTCCTGCCCCATATCTCCAGAGCACTGGGAGCCAGGGGCACCACATGGCAGGGCCATGGTGCTGCTAGCAGGCTCCACCGAGAGTCGTGAGTGACTATGTTGAAACTTCCAGAAACCTCTTTGCTTATTCAGATATTTGTGGTGCAGTTGTCCTGTGTCTTCGTCATCATGCCGATTTGATCTGGAAAATCACTGATACTGTGTCTCCTCCTCCTAGTTTGATGCCATCTTGGATGTCCTGTCGTCGGCGATTGTCCTGTGGCGTTACAGCAATGCAGCTGCTGTGCACTCTGCCCATAGAGAGTACATGTAAGTGGAATCCCACCTTTTTCCAAGTTGTAGAAGCCTTGCAAGTGACGGCTGTGCAAGTAGGTCACCAGCATAAATCACCCTGTCGCTTTTGTCCCAGTGGTAAGAGGGTCCCAGGTTGCCTTCAATGGCAGCTGGTGCAATGTCAGCTTTGGGACGTGACTTTCTAATTCTGTCTGTTCCCTGCTCTGAAGTCTGGAGTTGATGTTTCCTTGTCCATCCTTCTGTTCATCTGTTTGCTTACCCATCTGTCTATCCATCATCCATCCTCTCTGTTACTGGAGTCTTCAGCCTTTTGGATTTCTATCCTTTTTTTTTTCTCTAAGGAAGATGCATTCATCACTGTCACTTACAGAAGACATCTTGAGGGCATGCTCAGTTGTTCCACTGGCTTTCTACCCTTGTCTGTTTTAGAGGATGTTGCTTCATCCTGTGAATGAATACTTTGACTTTGAGAGATTTGTGTTTGTGACCATAAAACACACATCTTTCCCAGCTTCTATCTCATTACAGCATCCGTATCCTCCAGGGTAACGGCACAAGTGCCAGAGCCTGCCTGCCTGCCCGCCCGCCCGCCCTCCCGCCCTCCTTCCTTCCTCCCTCCCTCCCTCCCTCCGTCCCTGCCTTCCTTCCTTCCTCCCTCCCTCCCTCCCTCCCTCCCTGCCTGCCTGCCTGCCTTCCTCCCTCCATCCCTTCCTCCCTCTCTCCTTCTTCCCTCCCTCCATCCCTTCCCTCCTTTCCCTCATCCCTCCTTCTTTCCAGCCTTCCCTTCTCAGGGTATCATATATGCTAGACAAGTGCTGTATCACTCATCTCTATCCCCAGCCTCCAGAGTCAGATTTCTCGGTTTTGAAGACCACTGCTTGGTGTCACTGGGTCTGCTTCATACCTCATTACCTTATCTGGAAAAGCAGGAAAACAAATTCCTCCTTCACAGGATTATTGTGATGGATACGCATACACTTGCATACACATATATATTAACTTATGTATGTATACGTTTGCATATATATACACATGTATATATATATATGCATGTATGTGTGTGTGTGTGTGTGTGTGTGTGTGTCGGGGCATGCATTTTTACCCTACCTTTGTAGCTTTTGGCTGGTTGAACACAAATGAGCAAATGCCCCTGCTGTGGTTGGTGGTAGTGCCCAAAGAGAAGGTACTCTTGAATAGAATGTTAAGCCCTATTCAATATACAAAAGTTGAGGTGTCTCTTTGGTGCCAGGAAATTTAGGCAGTAATGTGTTTGAGATTGAATGTCCTGAAATAGCAAACTTCTAAAAGATGACATGATGACACCAAATATTCACTTCATTGCTGGCTTTAGGTAATACACAAAAATTTCTTTTACCTGTTAAGTATTTATTTTGATGTGCACTAGCTCTTTTAAGAAATAGAAAATATCAAATTTGTGATATCACAGATGGTATCATTTTTAGCAAAGTTAATCTTAAAACATGAGTTAATTTGTGGCTGAAAAAAATTACAAAATAATAAGAGCAAATTAACTTTGTAAAATTTCCAGCTATAGTTACATTGTGATGAAGCTAAAGTATCCACCCAACCTGTGATATAGGTATTTGAGGAATTCAATAAAACAATCCAGATAGTGCAATTTAGAGAGGTGCTCCTATTTCAGGAGCAGCCACCATCTTGTCAGAAGAGCATGGACTCGTTTGTTCCATATGTGGACTATTCATATGCTTGCCTTTAGTGCAGTTATCATGTGATGTGTGGTTTGTTTGAACTGAGAGGCATTGCAAGTGTAAAATACACATCAGATTCCAAAGACTTAGTAAGAAAAATGCTGATTTAAGAAATATCGATGGCATATTAATATTGGAATATTTTAGGAATCCCTATTAAAGCTAATTTTTCTTTACTTTATAAATGTGGCTTCTAGAAATTTAAAATTACCCATGTGCCTGGCATTATATCTTTGTATATTGGAAATATATATTGTGTAAAAATTCTAAGGAGAAAGCTCTTCCCTCTGCCTTTTATAATTTTAGAGTTAATAATTCAGAATAATTCAAGAAGGAATTGAGTTCAGGGTTGCCCAATTTCTCTGTTTCAATTTGCTTTTTTATCTGATTTACTTTCTGCCAAAATGATGTTTGTACATACTAGTCATAAAGCCGTCAATTCCGGTGGCTTTTCTGTGGTGTTGAGATCTCTGTGAACATTTACCGGTTGATCTGGAGGTGTGCCCAGACCAAGATTGATGACAATGAATGTCTTTGGTTTTACTGTTTTTAATGATCCCCAAATAGGTGCCATAAGAAAACATCACTATTGTCCCAAAGGCCAAGCTTTGATAATTCCTGGGTGGTATTTCATGGTTCATGGAATGGCAGTAATGAATTTACTTGGAGATTCCTAATCTGAGGATTAAAATGGTACAGTCCTCTGTACTGTTGGTTTTAGTCTAAAGGGTCCCCTCCTTTTGTTTGTGAGGTAGTTTCATTATATAGCTCCAGTTGGCCTCAAACGCAAGATCCTCCTCGGCCTGCTAAGTGCTGGGACTACAGGTGTGCATTACCATGACCGTAAATTAAAATGTCATGAGATCATTGTTTTATGTTTGCATATCAATGGATTCTGAGGGGGTATAACTAAAAAAACATTGGTTTCCAGTTAACTCCTGGAGAATAATATTAGAGGGAATTGAGAGCTATCCAACTAGTCCTTACTTAAGTTGTCTTATTTTTCTTAATCAAACCTACAGCCTTCAAGTGAAATCTTTGAGTTTAAAATTGTCAGTGCAAAGAGGGAAGAAGCTCTCTGAGACCTTGGCACCTGGTACATATCCCGACAGTAGATGGAGCGTTTGATGCTCAGAGGAAGGGACGCTATGGCTTCTGTACCACTAAAGCCTTTAGTCCCAAAAGTTTTGCTGTATTTTAAAAATTTTGGTAAAAACCACAGCATAAAATTTATCATCTTGGCTATTTTTAAGTGCATAGTTCAGTAGTGTTAAGTATATTCACACATTGTGAAGCAGATAACCCAAACTTTTCATCATGTAAAACTGAAACTCTGTACACATTCGACAATTCCCCATTTGCCTCTCCCCACCCCAGCACAGGCAACACTACTCTATTTTCTGTTTCTATGAGCTTGACTGCTTTAGATAACTCATAAGTAGAATCATATAGTTTTGTGTTTTTTGTGGCTGGCTTATTTCACTTACCAGACTGTCCTCAAGGCTTATCCGTCTTCTAGTGTGTAACACAATTTCCTTCTCTCTCTCTTGGGGTTTGAACTCAGGGCCTCTTGTTTGCTAGGCAGGTGCTCACCACTTGAGTCATGCCTGCAGGCTGGTTTTTTTTTGTAGGTAGGTTCTCGTGTTTTTTGCCCAGACTAACCTCAGCCTGAGATCCTGCTGCCTGTGCCTCTTGTGTAGTTGGGGGTTTCCGGAGTGTACCAATATGCCTGGTTTATTTGTTGAAATGAGGCTAACTTTTTGCCTAGGCTGGTGTTGACCCATAATCCTCCTGATTTCTGCCTCCAGAGTAGCTAGAATTTAGATGTGAGTTATGATACCCAGCCTCCACAATTTCCTTCTCTTTCTCTTCAGTACTGGGAGTTTGAACTCGGAACCTCAGGCTTGCTAGGCAGGTGCTCTATCACTTGAGTCACTCTGCCAGCCCAATTTTCTCCTCTTTAAAGGCTGAATAAGATTCCAGTGCAGGTACATAGCATAAATTTGGTGTATCCATTCATCCATTGATGGACCTTTTAAGTTGTTCTACCTCTTGGCTGTTGATAATGATGTTAATATGCATGTGTGTGCAAACATCTCTCTGAGAACCTACTTGAAATTCCTTTGGATATTTACCCAGAAGTAGGATTGCATGGCAGCAATGATTTTTAAAAAATTTTTATTTTATTCATATATGCATAAAATGTTTGGGTCATTTCTCACCCTTCCCCTATCCCCTTCCTTACCCCCCGCCCCCTCCCTCTCCCCCCCTACCCCCTCACTACCTGACAGAAACTATTTTGCCCTTATCTCTAATTTTGTTGAAGAGAGAGTATAAGCAATAATAGGAAGGAACAAGGGTTTTTGCTAGTTGAGATAAGGATAGCTATACAGGGAGTTGACTTGCATTGATTTCCTGTGCATGTATGTTAACTTCTAAGTTAATTCCTCTTGAACTAACCTTTTCTCTAGTTCCTGGTCCCCTTCTCCTATTGGCCTCAGTTGCTTTAAAGTATCTGCTTTATTTTCTCTGCGTTGAGGGCAACAAATGCAATCTAGTTTTTTAGATGTCTTACCTATCCTCACCCCTCCCTTGTGTGTTCTCGCTTTATCATGTGATCAAAGTCCAATCCCCTTGTTGTGTTTGCCCTTGATCTAATGTCTGCATATGAGGGAGAACATACAATTTTTGGTCTTTTGGGCCAGGCTAACCTCACTCAGAATGATGTTCTCCAATTCCATCCATTTACCTGTGAATGATAACATTTTGTTCTTCTTCATGGCTGCATAAAATTCCATTGTGTATAAATACCATATTTTCTTAATCCATTCGTCAGTAGTGGGGCATCTTTGCTGTTACTGTAACTTGGCTATTGTGAATAGTGCTGCAATAAACATGGGTGTGCAGGTGCCTCTGGAGTAACCTGAGTCACATTCTTTTGGGTATATCCCCAAGAGTGGTATTGCTGGATCATATAGTAGATCAATGTTTAGCATTTAAGTAGCCTCCAAATTTTTTTTCCAGAGTAGTTGTACTAGTTTACATTCCCACCAACAGTGTAAAGGTTCCTTTTACCCCGCATCCTCGTCAACACCGTGTTGTTGTGGTGTTGCTAATATGGCTATTCTAACAGGTAGTGGAATCTTACGTGTTTTAATTGCATTTCTTTACTGCTAGAGATGGTGAGCATTTTTTTCATGTGTTTTTTGGCCATTTGAATTTCTTCTTTTGAGAAGTTCTGTTTACTTCACTTGCCCATTTATTTATTGGTTCAGTTAATTTTAG